AGTACTGGTCCCAGAGAACGCGGACAGCGTCGCGAGTATTAAGAAACACGCGCGACGAGCGCGGCGCCAAGGTCACGGCGCCGCGGGCCAGGTGGCGGCGGTGAAATATGTGGCACTGGCCGGGGGCGATGCGGGGGCCGCCAAGAGGACCCCTTGGGGTGGAATTTTGCGGACCATACCGGCCAGCGTCCGCAGAGTCGAATAGTTGGCCAGACACATGGCCAGCTTGAACGTCGCGTCCCATCCCGAGGTGGGCACGACCATGCGGACAAGCAGCGTCGTGGTTGTCCGCCACCGGGCGTCTTGGGCGAGGATGCCACCCGACTCTTTTGCGACCAATACCGGGAGCAGCGTCACGAGTGGAAACAGCACCGTCAGCGCAAACCTACACCACAATTGACGCGAAATGCCACAACAATATATGGCTTGAAAGCTCCATGTACCCAATGATGCTATTGACAAAGAGCCGAAATGTGGTGTGGAAGAAGGGGATCGTCGAGAGGATGAACCAGGGCGACACGATGCAGTGGACGATGATGCACGACACGTACGTTGTCAAAAGACTCTTGTTGGTCGTGAGGTACGAGAGCCACCACGCTTGCACGCTCTGGACGCCAATTTCGGCGCATTGAAACCCGCCTAGTTTTCCATGTCAAAAAATGGCGGAAATTCAGAAACATCATAAAGCAAGGGCCACGTACACAACCAGTAGTGGGGCGTCCGCGTGCGCATCGTCAAACTGTGCAAGAGCGACCCTCGACGCCGCCGCCCCGTCGGTACCATGTCCAGTCCGACGCCATAGACGTGCAAGGCCGCCAGTAAAAAGTACATGCTGCCGCAGAGCTTGGGTTGATATGCATTCAGTGTGCTACGAGGGTACCAATGAGCGAAGTACATCACTAGTGTCATAACAGTGCAGTACATGCGCTCCGTGTTGGAGAGAATCGTGTAAATGTAACCCGAGACGACAAAGTAGACGGCCGAGACGGTGTGCTTGCAGACGCAGAAGAGCCACATAATCGAGCGCGATCGGATGCGAATCTGGCGCGGCGAAAGCGAGCTGTGTCGACGCAGCGCCGTCATGAGCTCCACGAGCGACTTGCGGTGCGTCGTCATGCGTGTCTATTTTTGGCCCCGTTTCTGATTGAAGGGAAGGTGTTGCTGTTCAAATGAGTCTCTCCATTTTGAGGATTGTGTGTCCTATTGTTAGGGTCGTCCATTTATTGAAGGAAGGATGTTGTAAGTGCATCGGAGTCCATGTTATGTTTCAAAACGGAGCTTCAAGTTTGCATTCAAGGATATACGTGGTCTGAGCAAGGATACCACGTAGTCAGTGCAAATTGTAGAGCAGACGCATTGCGCGCGCTAGATTCACCACATTGCGACACGAAATTTTTGGGCGTTAAGTGCGAGGTTGAATACGTAATCCTTCAACATGCACCGACGTCTGGAGAGTGCCTAGCGACCTTCCAAGGGGCTTCGCTTCGTCGTGGGTACGACCGTGCGAAAGTAGGCAGACGTAGTACACGGTCCTTTGTTCGCTCCTTTTCGGTAGGATTGTAGTAATTTGTTGATGCATACGGATAATGTACGGCAGTTAAAGTTGGCTGTCTCGCTGTAGAGCGCGCCACGTCATGGTTCCAGAATGTCAACAAAATCGTGTTGACCGAAATTCCAATTATTCTGTGGGCAAACGGGGACAGACTAATTGAAGGGGCGACGACTGCTTGTGAGTGAGCTCCATCGACGTTTCCTTGATTCTCGAAACCGGGCAAAACTGTTGGTTCTCATCTCAAGTCACAACTTTTCCGTTGCACCGACGAATCACTGGTACTGTGCCCTGCAACAAGCTCATTCAAATAGAAATTCTCCAGTGCAACAGAAAGCTTATCGGGTTGGGGCTTTAGCGCCGCAGGCCAATTCGCTGCTGTGTTCTCAATATCGCAGGACCTTTTATCTTGGTAGAACTGTCCAAATCGAATCTAGAAGCTTGTAGCGATCCTGCAACTTTTCAAACGGCGAGTCCGTCCAAGTGGCAAACCCAGGTATTCAACATGACGATTTAATTCAATCATACCTTCTCGGCCTTTTGGCTAAGATCAAGTGTAGTATCTGTTCTAATCAGTGTGAAAACTGATTTCCACACTTCGGTGTGGTTTTTTTTCACATTCATTTTTACAACTTCCGAAAGTCCAGTTGGCTTGCCACTGACTTTTGGACTGGTTTCCGAGGGCCTAGCACTCCTCCCTTGTGAAGCCTACCTACACACTTGACCTCCTCATTTTACCCAACGTCTTGCCTTCCCATGACACGAAATACGAATAATCACTTCAGCGCGAAGCGCTCCACGAGCGTAGCGAGTGCACCCGGGGACGTCGGTCGCCAACCGTGGTTGGGCAATACGCTGCAATGGAATGCGTTCGCACTGGACGACCAGAGCGACGCTTGTGCCGATCAATCCAGAGTATCTGCCATATCTGCTAACTACAGTTTTATTATAATGCCAGCAGTGAGTTCCTACAAGTTGCACAATAATGTCTTCTGTCGAGATGCTGCAACGCGTTGGCACGATCGTATGGCTTCGATATTTTCCGGACGCCGTATCCGGATTCGAATCTTTCGGCTTCGAAAAATCTTGCGCAGTCGAGGATACGCGAGTGAGGATGAAGACGTGGCCGCTGACGACGACGCTGCTAGCATGCATTGCCATCGCGCTGGCGCAGAAGACGAAGAAGTGCCCCGGCGGCGAGAACCCATGCAGCCTCCATGGCTCGTGCATGATCAGCCGCATGGGCGAGTACGTCTGCAACTGCCAATGGGGCTATACGGGCGCCGACTGCAGCCAGAGTACGCTACATCGCCTTACCGCGTCCGTGCTGATTGTTCATCAAGGCCTCGTGATGGCTAGAGATGTGTCCACATGGCGTCGACCCCACGACGAGCGCGACCAAGCAAGAGAAGAAGGTCCGGCTCCAAGTTCTTGGCCCGAGCGAAGACGCGTTGGCCGCCGCGGGCCGGCTCTTCCTTACGTTCCATGGACACACAGTCGAGATGGAGGTGGATGCGGCCATCTCAAGCGAGCGCTGCACCAAGGTCTTTCAGCGCTTTCACAACCTCGGCACCGTCGTACGTCCCTCAACCTTGTGCGACAGACGATGGACAACGGTCGCGTAGAGCTGCGTGCGGTCGCCAACGCTCGCGACGTCGGACGTGCTCCTCCAGCTTGACATTACATTGCACTCGTTTCCGATCTACCCGATCATGAACAATTTGTACTTTCACGACGGCAATCCGCCCGCCACGGACTTTGGCTGCGATACCGGCGGTGCCAAAAGCCTCGCGTGTGCCTTTACGAGTCTCGCCGATGCCAACGTCAAAGGTACGACTAATGATCCTTCTCTGGTCTACAACGCCTTGTACAACATGTCCATACTACGAACCCATAGGTTACGTGCCGTGTGCCAACCACGGCAAGTGCAACCCCCGGTCCGGCCTCTGTGCGTGCGAACCTGGCTTCTATGGCGTCCACTGCGGGCACAATGATGACGCCGCCGACATGCTTTTGGGGCTTGCGCAAGGCCCCTTTTTTCTCGGGCAATTTACTCAAATTGTCGGCAGCACGGAGTCCCGATGCAGCGTTCAACTTGATGCACATCGATGTCGGCGGCGTCCCAGTCTTTACGATGGACGGGCGCGGCGACACGACGCTGCATCAAGGCTCGCTGGTCCTCGAGGCTCTTCGCGCGTCGCGGATCGAGGTCGTCTCTTGTTCGCATTATCCAGTGTTGATAATTTGATAGTAGGTGCACGGCGACGTGAGTGTGCATCGCGCCAACCTCCACGTCCACGACGGCCACGTCCGCGTTCAGAAAACCCTCGATGGTGACGGCATCGCGGCACCGGTCCTCGCCATCGACGCGCGCGTTCAAACCGAAACGTGCGCCGTCGACGAGATTGGCTCGCTCTTCCGCGTCGCTCTCAACGATGTCTCGCTGCTCTCGCTGGACGCCCTCGGGCGCCTCGAGACCAAGGCGGTCACGGTCCATGACACGCTTCATGTGGCCAAGGACACGGCACTCGACGGCAATGTGGCCATCGCCGGTGCAGCGAGCATCCGAGCCGGGCTCGATGTTGCCACCAACGGGCTCCGTGTCGCCCAAGGCGGTGCATTCATCGGTGGTGGCGCATCCATCGGTGGCGGCGCATCCATCGATGGCGATGCGGCCAGTCGGCATGTGCTGCATCTGACCGGCGCCAGCCGCGAGAGCCAGCTACGGTTGGAGCAGCCGAGCAGCAGCCCTGCAGCGTATCTCACATGCGCCACCAATGAAAAGCGAGTCTTTGAAATCGCAGCCACCGGCATGACAACCGTCCACGGCCTTGACGTCCAAGCCGGTGGCGTCGCCGTGCACGCGGGTGGTCAAGTGATCCACTCGGGCGGCTTGCACATCGCGTCTGGTGGCCTCCACGTGGCGAAGGGCCACGTTCAAATTGACGGGTCGCTTTCGTTCCAAGGCGGTCTCGTCGTCAATGGCTCCGAAAGCGCCACGTACGTCGTTTCGATACCCCGGGGCACGCACGTCACACACCCATGTGTAGGCCAAGCCTCGTGGCGCAAGCGGCCCATGCGCACTTTGCATCGAGCGTCTTGCATTTGGATGCCTCGGCGGTACACCGGTGTCCATAACGATGCGGCCCATCGATTGACATCTACTAGGTGGACTTGAAAGCGTCACCGGGGTTTCAGCTCGTCCACGCGACGACAGCGGCGGGCACGGTGCTGGCGATTGATGGTTTTGGCAATCTCACAACCGTTGGCAGTCTTTACGCGGATGGGGCGGTCGTCGCCAAGGGGCCCCTCATTGCCGAGACGCAAGCGCTGCTTCGCCCGACGCGGCTTGTCGCGGCCAAGCACCTTGCGATTCCGTGCACCCACAGCTACGTCCAAGTGCTCTCGGACGGCGCGACGCATAGCAGTAGCACGCAGACGATATCGATGGATGGCGCCGCGTACGGTCAGCTCCTCGTGGTGCAGAACGCCGACGAAGACGCGCTTTCGTCGCTCAAGATCCCGCCGCAGTCGTCTGCGCTCTTTGTTTTCGACGGGCAAGCGTGGCAGACGTTGACCGCCACCGAGTTTGACACGACGCAGCTCGTGAACGTCAAGGAGTTCTCGGCCGCGGCCGATCTCAACATTGGCAACCACATGCTCTCGGCCAAGTCGATTCAGGTAGTTATCAAAATGTTGACGAAAACGAGGATCGAAACCAGGACCGATGCGTGTAGGTGGCCGGGCAGACGGCGTCGCATGTCGCATACTATGGCAAGGGCGGCGTCCTTACCGGTGACGCGTCACTGAGCTACGAGAGCGCGTCACAGACACTGAACACGCATCAACTCAAGGTGCATGCGCTCGTGGGCAAGATCGATATGTCCAACTCGGAGCTGCGCGGCGTCGACATCATTGGCGGCCACCTCCGTGGTACGCGTTGTGTAGTTTTGTATCAATCTATCAATCTAGCACGATACAAAAATGGGGCGTAGGGATCAACTTGAGCGCGCTGACGCTCGAGGTCGCCGGTGAAATGTTTGTCGAGTCGAACGCGTTTGTCGGCGGCTGGCTCACGGTCGACGGCCAAGTCATGGGCTCGGGTTCGTACGTCGACTCGTCGGATGCGCGGTTCAAAACCAACGTGTCGGCGCTTGTAAATGCCTTGCCGCGCTTGCAACAACTACGCGGCGTGAATTACGACTACAAGACGGACGCGTATCCATCCAAGCACTTTTCGACGCGCTCCGAAATTGGGTTTATTGCGCAAGAAATCGAGGCCGTGGTTCCCGAAGTCGTCACGACCGACGCCGACGGGTTCAAGTACGTGGCGTATGCGCGCCTCGTCCCGCTGGCCGTCGAAGCCATCAAAGAGCAAGCAGCGACGATCGAAGCGCTGACCGACGCGGTGCGCACGCTGCAAGCCCAAGTCGCCGCGTTGCAGGCCCTCGTCGCACAGACAGTGGACTCGTCGCAACGCTAATAGAAAGTGAGGTAGATTGCCGTCCGCTGGTCTCTTCAACTACCGGTACTGGCTTGGTGGTGCAAGATTGTCGTAGGATGCTGCATTGATAGATGTCACGGGCAACAACAAAATGCATGGGCAACTGGAACGTAGGTAGACGACCTTGCCTTGATGTGGACCACATAGATCGGTCCAAAATAATGTAGGAGAATACTATTTCCATGTTTTGCTCACCCTAGGAATGGCTGGCTTCGTCAGTAAGGCCATTAGGGAGGCGAGTTTGGGAAGAATATGGGTGACTTCAAATCCTCGTAAATACACCTTTACATCGGACACAAAACAGCGAAATTAAGAACAACGGCGATGTATCAACACGATTTTAGCATGCCGGAGCGTCGGTAGCACATGCTTAGCATCACCTTGAAAGGCCATCGTGGTCTTTTCCGTGAGCCAAGACCTTTGAGACGAAGCTTCGGACGTGCGACGCGGCTCGCCTATCCCGGAAATGTCATCCCGAACGTCTTCCAAGCAGGTCGATTACCACACTGCATCTTTATGACGTAAGACAACGGCTTGATTTCAGCATGATGGCTGAATCTTGATGGGCCAAACGCTGATGCCGCAACGTTGGAATGTCATAGGCACATATATATCATTATGGGGACGACCCGGATTTCTAGGGCAATAGGTATCGCAGTGGTGACCTGTAGGGTGGATATAGTATATGGCACGTCGGCGAATCCTGTCCATCTTTTTGTACTACTAGTACTAAGGACCCCTCCTCGGATGCATGATGCTTCTCCGGTAAAACCGGTCCTAGACGATCGTAGATAGGGATTCCGGTTGGACAAATTGTTCGACTCTACGAACCGTTTGAGACTTGAAAGTTATCGGCGTCGTTCACATTCTGGCATTGACCCATCGATGACGGCGCGCGCAGTGGCTAGCGCAGCTGCTATTACAGTTTGGGACGCTCGATGGCTCCACGGATGGCTCCACCGCCACTCGCATGCGTCCGAGACTGCTACGAACTCGAGCATAGTACACCAATCAATACCCATACATGCAGCTTGACCCTAGCTACATTAAGTTAGCTGGTATCGTCAATGATCACACCACGCACCGCTCCTGAGGAGCCGCTGGTGGTGTCGCATCGACCATCATTCTGATATTGCGTGTTTTTAGCCGGCCAATCACAACGGAAGGTCCAGTTCCACGGTCGTAGACAGCGAATATTCACGATGGAGCTCGACGACGCCGCCTGCATGGACCTCCTCTGCGACTTTGTGCTGTGCCCGACCTTTGGCAGCAGCGAGAGCGCCGGCGACGACGACGAGAGCCACGCGCAGCCGCCGGCCAAGCGCTCGCGGAAGCGAGAAGCCCACCACATTGCGGCGCTGCGCGCGACGGTCGCCGACCTCGTG